AGTAGTAAAATTGCTTTCATTTGCTGATTCTTACTATGGGATAAGCAATTGTTTAATCATTTGGAGTAAATCTGAGCAGCAGATATTAGTATTATCATTTTACAAATAAGGAAATCAACTACTGCAAAGTTAAGTAATTGTAAAGGTCAGATGAAAATAATTTGAAGGCCTGTGATTCAAAGCAAGGTCTTCTGACATCAACATATGTGCTCAACTGCTAAACTATATGGATGTCTGGGTCTATTGTTTTTCTTTCTTTCTTGTAGTTTTTTTTGTTGTTGATCTATATAGATGTACATTTGGGGTGGGCACATGTGATAATTTGATACATTTATATAACCAAATCAGGGTAATTGGGATATTCATCACTTTAGATTTTTGTCATTTCTTTACACTAGGAACATTCTGATTATTCTCTTCTGGCTATTTTGAAATGTAAACTTAATTAATGTTAGCTCTAGTAACCCTCCTGATTTATCAAACACCAGATCTCATTTCTTTTATGTTACTAGGTATTTGTACATACGACTTTTCATTTCAGCAATTAATAAAAAGAAGATATTTACTTAGTAGAGTGAAGTATTTGCCAATTTATAAAGCAGGTATATTCTTTGAATTTTTAAATAAATCATTCAAATATGAAAAACTACCAAGCTATTTTAGGATAGTAAAATCATTTTATTACTGAGCATTTCTCACTTAAAGTCAAATATTGGATTTGATGGAATACTTAGGAGGAAAATAAAGACAACCTGTGATTGTTGTCTTCATCAGGTGTATCCAACTTGCTATAATTTTTTTTTTTCTCACAATTCCTCATACATTTTTCTGGAAGTAATTATATTGACAAGTCAGGCCCTTGTCTCTATTAGAAGCTAAAAAATGTACCATAAAATTAGTGATAAGGTTGAATATCCTTTTTGGCAGACTTATTGACTGTATATATATATATATATATATATATATATATATATATGATTTTTCAAATAACACTGAATCCATTTTTCATTATATGTTGTTTTCAAAGTACAATAATAGACAGTTTAAGAGATTTTAAAAATTCTTTATCCCCAAATAATTTATAATTTTTTCCAGGAATAGAAAATCTCCAATACTAGTACAAACCATAATTGTATAAATATTCAATTAAATCTATAAACAGAATCCTATAAGGAAAATAAAGAAGACATTAATTTTGAATCTAAATGCAGAGTAACCATTCATGTTGAAGTGAATTGAAATAAAACATAGATATCATTAAATAAGACATACTATGTACTTATATTCTTAACTCTGCATTTTTAAGAAGAAATGTTCGATAGAAAATGTCAATACATCTTTATTTATAACCAGGCTGAAAAGCTGACCTACTTTGCATGCTGGTTTTTCATATACCCTATTTTTGGTGATCCAATTTTGTAACTGGAATTTGTAAAATGTGGTCAATTCTTAAACTCAAAATCAAAATGTTCTATGTAATATGCAAAGTTCTTCTTCTAGGGCATAATCATTATCAAAGAAGAAGCAAAAAAAAAGTATATTTTTGATCAAAGTGATAGTACAATACCATTTATTACATACATATGGAGAATAGTGGACTGAGAGAAGTTAGATAGTTCTGATATATAGGAAAAATGTTTGTCCCCACAAATAGAAAATTAGTATTTTTAAAGCCTTTTTTTTACTTAGTAGTGATGCTGTTAAATTATTAGATTAATGGTTTTAATATTCATCTAATTTTATATGTATCATATTGATCATCTTTTTTGAAGAGCCAAATGTAACTAGTTGTTTGGATTTACAAGACATCAAAGATAATAGTTATTTCCAATTGAAATTATTTAACATCTGTGCCTTCATCATAACAACTGTCATGCTATCAGGATGTAAGTTCTAATACATTACAACAAAGGAAAACACACAGAAAATTAATGACCTACCATACATCTTTTTTTCATTTCTATAAGATCAAGTTCAAAACTTTGAGTTGAGCATTTAAGTAAACTTTGTTCTCTCCTGATATTCTTAAATATTAACTCCAAACACATACATACATAAAGTATTTGCCCTAGAACTCATATTCTCTTTGTTACACATCTCAAGTGTCTTCTTACCTCTACATTATAAAAACCCTCATTTTTTACTTGCCTCCCTTCTCTTTCTTTTCTGCTTTCATAAATCCTATGTCTCTTAAAAGCAAATTTATGGAAACATCCTCTATGAAATCATACCCACACAATTCAGCTCCAAAATACAAACTAGAACAGTATATTTACAGCAAAAATAACCAATATCAGATTCAGATACAGTAAGTTTTCACTTAACATCATTGATAGGTTGTTGAAAGCTGCAACTTTAAGTGAAAGGACATACAACAGGTCCGCAAATAACGTTGTTTCCTTCAACATTGTTTCATTATAATGTAGAGAAAAGACAAAATTGTTTTGTTATACATAGTTTCGCTTAAAGTTGCCATTTTCCAAGAACTTATCAATGGCATTGAGGACTTATTACTGAGAATGTGTAAAGAATTGCCATAAATTACTATAAAAATATAAATGTGTTTGTTTTAGATTCCTCAGAAGCAGATGTTTAGAAAAGAATATAAGCAGTGTATTTAGAAGATAAGCCCAGGGAATACTTGTTGAGGATATGTTTTCAAACAATTTTTCAAATTGGCCATTGAACTTTAGATTTCTGTGGAACTCTGGTTAACAGTATAAAACACATACCAGAGTTGTCAAACACAATGGGAGAGAGAGCAGAGATATTTATGTTCCTACTGGTAGTTAGTTGAGTGCTGTCTCTGAAAGGGACATTAATTCCATGGAACTTGGGCTACCATGTACACTAACAGAGCAGGCTCCAGCAGCTGAAGAAAGCCTTCAAACAGGGGGAAAGGAGCAGGCAATCATAATTTGTTTCCGTGTACACCAAAATGATAAAGGCAGGGAGTTCTGGGTGGGGCACCAATCGAAAAATAGGTAAAATAAGTAAACATGTATCTCACAGAAAAGGAAACAAAAATTTCTAATAAACTTATATTCCTAACTAATCAGGGAAATGATGATTATTGCTATTTTATATTTACTAAAATTGGCAAACATGAGAAAAGCTAACAAAGCTAAGGGTTAGGAAGGACATTGAAAAAGTTCTTATGTGCTGATGGTTTCATTATAAATAGATAGAACTACTTTGAATGAAATTTGGCTACATCTAGTAAACATAGACCTGCATTTCCTATGACCAATGATGTCACTTCTAAGTATATGACTTAAGTAATCTTTTGTAAATGTACACTATATGTTCAAAAATATTCACAGAAGCCAGTATTTGTAATAGCAAAACAAAAAACTAGAAACACTGTAATGTTCATTAGAAGGAAAATGGTAAATTGTATATTCATACAATGGAATACTATGTTATTATGGCCAATCATTCACATCAAAATGTATGGATTTTTTAAAATCTAATACTAGTTTTTAAAGTCTTGGGAAAATGTACGTAGTATTATTTGATTTATATAAAGTTCAAAAGCATTCAAACCCATACAATATGTTTTGTTTTAGGTAATTAAATATTGGTGATAAAGCTGTTTAAAAACAGAATATTAAATATGATTCAGGAATTTGTGGGGCAAATAGGGAAATGTAGATGGGGAAGGACACCCAGAGTACTTCAAAGATAGTGATTCTATTTCATTCTATTGTGGGTGCGTATATTATTTTATACATGTATGTATATACGCACACACGTGTGTGTGTGTTTTATATATACATATGACAAAGTATTGAACATAGGAAGAGAAGCCATGGAATAAAACTCAGATACAATGTCCCAGGAGCAGGAAGAGAAGCAGGAAAACTGTTGTAGTAGAAGCAAAGAAGGAGAGAACAAGCCGTGATGGCAACTGTTGCTAGGCATTGTGGGATCCGAAATAAAATGAGGCTAATGGGACTGGAACTTAGCAGGTCAGTGGAGGCCTTAGCAAGTGCATTTTCAGTAATAGAGTTGGGGTAGATGCCAGAAAACAATGGCTTGAGTAGTAATAAAAAGCATTGAGTATAGGTAGCTTTTTAAATAATTTTAGCAGTAACTGCAAGGAAGAAGATAGGCTGTAATTCGAGGAGAAGGCAAATTTGAAGGCTATTTAAGAGTATTTTATAAAAGAACATAATCTGAAGTAGACCATACATAAAGACATTAAAATGTTTAAATAGAAATTTACTTATAAGAAAAGCAATATTCTTCTAAAAACAAGTCTCCTGAGAAATACTTGAATTAAATATTTTTACATTTCAAATAATTATTTCATCTAATTTCTGAAACTCCCTCAATGTTATTTTCTTATTTTTTTGATACAATTTATAGCCTTTATGATTGTTTAATTATCTTTTCAATGTCCTTTCTCATTTTTAATAAATATGAATTAGACCAATTTGAATCATGATTTACATACATGTTGAACAGGCATTAAAATAAATTATTAGTTAAAGTAACAACATACTCCTTCATGCCCCTTTTCATACTGGGCAACTTTAGTCATCACTGTAACAAATTGTAGACAAATTTTGAGGATAAAGTGAAATAGTAACGGGATACTCTTGCCTGACTATATATGTGAATATTCCGTTGAAAAAGGAACATTATTAGTTTTAAAATTACAAGCAATCCAAACAACTTGAGATCTCCATGAAAAATGTCTTGGCTGGTATGCATAAAGTTAGGCCAGCAATAAGAGATGATGCTGCTGATTTTAGCTGTGGCATAAATATTAATATAGGAGAGTAGCATGGAGGTGGATAAATGCTATTTACTTTAGTAACAGGCAAAATTTTCAAACTGTGACAACATGCTCAATAAATTCTTTCATTACTGTAATACCAAAGGAGAGTTGAAAAATGTATTGCATTTCTATTTTTTCTCCTCAGAGATATATATGCTTATTCTGTTCCTATAGCAACATCAATGCAGTGACTAAAACTTTAACTCCTTTTTAGACTCCCTGATGGCTTCACACAGCTCCTAAACCTGACCCAGCTCTACCTGAATGACGCCTTTCTTGAATTTCTTCCAGCCAATTTTGGAAGGTAAGAATAAGAAATTTAAATTATGCAATTATATTTCACCTTAGGTAAGTGCTTTACCAGCACCAGTTGATGAGACTTCAAAAGTGACAGCTGTGATTAAAGATAGGCCTCATTATTATTCAATAAATGAAACTGTTAATTAATGAAACTTTTGCAAAAAGCGAAGTAAAATTAGGCCTTTACATGCCATTAATAGTCAAATAAATTCTAGATGAATTAAAGAGTTGAATATTAAAAAAAATAAAGCCAGAAATGATCTGGGGGAGAAAAAGAGATGAATATTTATGACTCTGGCTGAGAAATACCTTTATAGGCAGAGAAGCAAAGAAAAATATCATAAATGGATACATATCATGACCTAAATACTTTTAACATAAAATATCAGATAATCGAAAAATTAAGGTAAAACAATAACCTGGAAAAATGGTTCAATTATATATGAAAAACAAATTGTTTACATATTTAATGCATAAAGAATTCTTACATGTAAGTATGAAAACAAAGATTTTAGAAGAAAAATGGTTGAATTTCAACAACAAAGCAATTTATAATAACACATATAAATGGCTATTGAACACATGAAAAATGTCTTTTCACAAATAATAAATATAATACAAGTTAAAACAACAGTAAAAGACCTTATGTTCTAACATATTGCAAAAACTGTTAGATTACAAAACAGAGATAATCTCATGCTCTCTGATAGGACTGCAGAATGTTATGACCTTCATGCATGGCAGTATGCTTTTAGAACATTTGAAAATATTTGCAACTATTGCCTTTGTAAATCATTTCTAGACATGTCTCTTACAATTATCAGATACCCCACCAGGATTTATGGACAAGTTTATTGTTAATTACAATGTGAAAAAAGTGGAATCACACATCTGAGGACATTGGTTAAATATATTATGGTTCATCCATATTATAATACCATGTAATAATTCATAATATTATCTTAGGTGTTTTTAAAAAATTCTTAAGATGTTTCCAATATGAATGTGAATCTGTATGAAATAAAAGACTGGTACCTTAGAAGTAAAATTATGGATAGTTTTTATTGTCATCTCGACATGTTTTTTAATATTTCCCAGGTGTTCTACAGTGAATGTTTTGTGCAAAAGATATATTGTAAAAGCTAGGACATTTTTAAGTTTATTGTCAATGCATTTATGTAAATGATCATCTTTGAAATTGTTCAAATAATAGACTAGGTATAACTTGACACCAATCTGTGACTGAAGCTCGTACAGGACATTGAGAACTCAGTTGAATAATGAAGTCACTTAACATGGGACAGCCTCCATTTACACACTGAGAGCACATCAACATTTGCCAGATTCCCTTACTTTTGCATATCACACCATCACAACATTTATAAACAGCTTATATTTGGGCAGTTTTAAAATTCACAGAGTGTCCAAAGAGCATTGCCTGGCTTCTAAATGAATTGGCATTTCATCGTTCATCTGTAGAAACTAGCATTGCCCCTCTGGTACTAACCAGAGCATTATAACATACTTTGGATTTATCAAGTCAGAAAACAGTTATTATCTTAAGGTACATTTTTTTCTTGAACTTTTATCAGTTCTCTTTAAGTAGTCCTCATGTGAGGAAAAGATTTGGGCAAGTGAAAAACATAATACTAACAACAAAACCATTTGGAAATAGAATTTAATTTTGCATAAGTTGCCTACAAAAATATGCTCTATTTTTTATTATAATCTAAAAAGGTCTTTAACCTTCAACTGGATAGTTTAACAAGAGGACAGTTAAAATTCCCTTTAAAACCTGAGATTCTATGTTCCTATAAACCAAAATCAGTACAAAATATCATACTATTACAATTGTTGACAAGATTTGAGACAGACAAATGTTTAAGAAGTCTCCTTTACTAGCAATATACCCATGCTCTGAAGAACTGAATCACTTTATTTTCTATGCAGATTAATTGTTATAAGATTAAAATTAAAACTTGATAGGAGGCAAAAAAAAAAAGGGGTGGGGTGGGGAGAGACCTACAGGAAAATCTAAAAGCACAGTAAATTTAAGAGATGGTACATAAAAAAACTTCAAATAGTAAAATATTTTCCAAAACATTAAGAATTCAGAGAATCCAATTAATATCTGTTTTAAAGTAGCCTCATTTGGGTGCATTTTAACATTCAATGGGGCATAAATAACAATAGGGTGTCCTAGACTGCAAAACTTAACAAGTAATTAAGCTGAAATGCATTCCTAATCACAAATGTTACTCAAGCAACAGAAACTGTGAAAACCTCTCATTCTCTTCACGTGATTTCCCCCACCCCAGCATTGTCACAGGACAGTTGATATGACAGATTTTTAAATACATAACCTTTTCATAAATGTTAAAATATGCACCTTAGAGTCAATGAAATATGGTGTATTGCAGCACTTCTCCCATTGTGTAATTAATGAAAATAATCATTGCCAATTCTTATTAAAACTTATACCAGAAATTATGCTTTAATTTGATACTTTTGTCATATACTTATAGATGAGGAAACTGAATTAAGAGGGGTTAATTTGCCCAGTGTCACAGCAGCAGAATATGAGAATCTGAATTTCACACAGACTTACCTTCCTACAAAGTCCCACTTTTTTAACTCTATGCTGTAGTATTTCCTTTTTAGTTCATTCATAGCCTCTTGAGGGAAATTATTGCCATATTCCAGTGAACACAGCATATGGTCTTTAGTATACATTCAGTTATCTATTGAATGTATGAAATTAAACAACAAATATATTTTATAAAACATATGAAATTTAGAATGCTGGAATCCAAAGATTCCTTTAAAATATCTCAGTTAATTTTATGAAAATGACATTTCTCATTGCCCAATGTTGATGTAACTATACTCATAATCAATATGTATATTTCCTTAAAATCTATTACCATAGTAAAAAAACTTTGGACATAGCTGTTTGGATAGTGATACTGATAGTTTGCCATAGTAAAATTTATTTTTATTTTAATTTTGGGTTATTACGGGTACATATAGTTGTATATATTTATGCAGTACATGTGATAGTTTAGTGCTGACATTCAATGTGTAATGATCAAATCAGTGTAATTAGGGTATCCATCACTTCAAGCTTTTATCATTTCTTTGTGTTACAAATATTCCAATTCTGTTTTTTAGTTATTTTTAAATATACATTATTGTTAACCATAGTCACCCTATAGTGCTACCAAATACTAGATCTTATTCAATAATTTTTTAGACAGAAATACTAAGAGGAAATTTTTAAAATTCATTTCTGTAGACTTGTCAAATTGCGGATCTTGGAGTTAAGAGAAAATCACTTGAAAACTCTACCAAAGTAAGTGACTATGTATTTTCTGAATTTTGAGCTATAATTTTATTTTTTTTTTTGGCTAGTAAGAAAAATAACTACTTCTATTTTGTCTGTGTTTTGTCACTTTGAGTTAATTTGTCTACACATTTTCCTAAAGGCCAAAACATATAGTACACTGTAAGAGATTCATATTACATGAGAATGTATCCTGTTTTATCAAAATGTAATTACAGGTAAAGGTAGAAAGAGTTCACTTAAGTTTCTTCTCATGGCTGAAGATACATGCCAGAAAATTATTGCACAAAACATATGAAACTGTCATTCTTATAGTTAAAAATAATAGTGTCATAAGGTTCAACTTAATGGAATGCTTAATTCCTCAAGTTAATTTATGGATTGTAGTATATATTTCAGTTTTTAAATTAAGAATATGCCAGAAATTTTTAGGAAAAAAGATTAAGATTTTTCAAGAGTTCATAAAGTGGTTTAGCTAAAAGTTACATATTCTTGTAAATTGTTCCTTTTTACTAGTCTATTTAAAATTTGGCTTATATAAAAATATAGGACATTTTAAAGTAAAAACTAATCCCTAAAATTTTATGCAATGTTTATCATAAGAAAATGCTTTGTTTCACCCAGCTTTGCCTTATTCATGTGTAACAATCGAATTTTGTGTTGTACAGAAACAATTATTTTTGAAAGTCAAAATGGGTTCTTCACTTGATTAAATCAGTATGACTTGTATATGTTATGATGAAAATATTTGAAGTACTGTGTTGCTATTATCACCTTTCTGCAGTATTATAGAAAAATATTGAGTACAGTGAATAATTTTTCAAACATTTCAATAGGACTTAGATTCATCTGTTGAACCAAAATGTAACCTTATTTTTTACTTATTAAATCCTTTTCTAAGCAAACTAGATCGACTAATATATCAACAGTATACCTTCAAGTGCATTTTATGTATGAGATTATATATTAAAATTGTGTCATTGCAATATAATGACACAATTATGAAAATAACTTTCAGTAATGATATGAATTTTATTTGAATATATACATAAAGATAAAACACCTACTTAATCCTCCGTAACAGAAGAAAAAGAGTGAGCATAGAAATGAGGAAATGTCTGCATATTTCACCATCTTGCACTTTTGAATAATGCCTTTCTTTAAACTAAAGCATTGGGTACGGGCCTAACCCAAGGGACCCCATCCCAGGTTGGGGGTGTAAACAGGCGGAAATATGGTTGAGGGTGTTTTGTTCAAGTGGAAATTTCCTGCAAGTGCATCTAGTGCCACTGTGTCCATCCCTCATGCTTTTGTCTGCCACATTTAAAGTAAGTGGAAACATGACTAACTGGAAGCTAAACCAAGATAGAAAAGCAGTTGTTCCCTTCATCTAAACATATACATTTAGGTCAAGGAGAAAATATTGGGTATGCAGAGGAGAATCCTTTTCCCTCTGTTCTCAAATAATGGCTTTGATTTGAAGTATAAAATAAACCTGACATAGGTTGTTAGGTTTTAAAATATATTTTCAAGTACAAATCTTAAATATAAATTAAAACCTGATATAGATTGATAACATGGACTTTATATGAGGTAGCCGTGTGAATAAATCAGAGTAATGAGGAACAATAATAACAATAATTGGTGCTGGGGTATTGTGCAGGCTTTGAGATTGCAGTCCAGTATTACACAATTAAAATAAGTAGAATAATATGTATAAACCATTTTGGACATAGAAAAATGTTGTAAAGATATATTAGAACTGATTCTGGTTCTCTTTGATAGACTCATATACATATAACTTATATAGCTCTTACAGCTTTTACATTTTAAGAAATTTTCAAAATTACTTGCAATCTAGTGTGTTCATTTTATAACTTACAAAAAATCTAAAGAACCAAATTCTGACATAAAATACATATAACTTTAGTTTAGGGTCTATAGAATGAGACATACAGAAAGAAATTCTTCTTTGAACAAAAATAAACTTTGTTTTCACTATGTATTATACCTTTTTATCACCAGTCTATATCTATAACTTAAAACTATGTGAGAATATTATAGTATCCTTTATTTTGCACTCCCAATAAAAATAGAGGTAAAAACATAGTTTTAAGAAAAATAATTTTAGTTTTACAATAACTATTCTGGGAAGAGATAACTCATGAATTCCTTAGGGATACAAGCAAGATGTTGGATTGTTAGTTATTTTCTCTTCTTTTCATCTTTTGTCTTAAGTCTATATGCCTAGCAATCTGCGAAAAATGTGAATGTGTGTAAGAATTATAATATTACATACATTAAGATGTATATCCTTTAAGCAACTAATAAAGACACTTTGATGTATGGAAATTCTAGTATCATTTTTTTCAGTTAGAAAAAGGAATTCGTATTTTGTTTCCTTAAAATGTTTATGATCATTCCTCTAAATATATCAAGGAATAATACAATTAAGTTCTTTGGATATGTATTTGCCTAAAACTCATTGAAACAGTCAAGTCTTTATTATTTGTAATATTAGGAGACAGTGAACATCTGAAAATAACTAGATTGCCGAAAGGAAAAATTTTTAGATTCTATCTTACAGTTTTTCCTTATAGAAGAATCATCTTCTTAATTATGTTTTTTGAGGGATAGTCAGAAAATGTGGAGATGGTAGAGAGAATTAAAATGACTGTTGGGTGTCAAGGGAAAACCAATCCTTTGTTTGTTTGCTTATGTATTCCTTTCTTCATTTGTTTGTGTAAAAGTATCCCAGGGTCAGGAATCCAAGAGAGGCTGGATTCTCAGTGATGCTGTCTCAGGATGTCTCATGATGCTTGAATGGACTAGGGCTTGCCTCAAATCTCACTCAAGCAGTGGTTGGCAAATGGGTTTCTCACTGGCGATATGCTGGAGACTTTCCATTTTTTTCCTATAGAAGCTCACATGTACCTATCTGTAGGGTTACTTTCAATGTGGCTTCTTCCTTCCTTCCTTCTGAGCAAGTGATTTGAGAGACAGAGTATGTGTCTAATACAGAATCTTGGTCTTTTTATAATCTAATCTCAGAAGTGAAAAACTATGATGTCTACCATATGCCATTGATCACAGAGACCAAATCTGGACCATTTCTTCCAAAGTATGGAAGAAAACAACATAAGACTATGAATACCCGGAGACAGGGATTAATGGAGTCCATTGTAGAGGTACCTACCACAGGTCTGGTTCTCAGCATTGCTGGTCTAGAAATTCAATGTTGACATTCACTAGATGCATCAGATGCAGACTAACTTACACAAATCAAACACACGGGATTTTATCTTAGCACAGCACACTCTGTTTCCCAGAACTCCAGCTATACTAGTGTTCCTCTTGGACAAAACACGTGTGTTCCCATTTTGGAGGCTTTTCACTGTCAAGAATTTTCTTTCCACACATCTTTGCCTGATTAGGTCTTCCTTATGATTCATGTCTCTCTTCAGATATTGCTTCCTCAGGGGCCTTCCCCAGTTATATTATATAAAATAGTCTCCCTTATTCTTTATACCATTTCATCATAGCACTTACCACTCTCTGTATGATTTTGACTCTTTGTTTACTTGGAGATTATCTCCTCAAGAGAGTAGAAGCTCCATTAATGAGAGGTTATTTCCACTTGGCTACTGCAGACTCTCCAGTGCCTTAAACTTGGTAGACATTCCAAACCAGAATGCTGACCTATGGATTCGCAATGATGAGTGTCTCTCATGTGACCTTGACATTTTGCGTCACTTGATTATTTTTCTCCACAGAAAATCATATGGGAAGCCAAACATTATAATCAGATTAGTCTTTGGAGAACAGCATGAAGTCAGACAAGGACAAATGATTGGGTTTTCTCAATAGCTGATAGCCCAGACTTGGCTCTTATAAACCTACACACATTTTCTCTCTCTCTAGGTGGTTTCAATTTAGGCATAATAGTTCAGACATGACAGGGAGAAAAATAACTTCATATTAAGAAAATATTTATAACAACTAAATAAAATATAAAAATAGTATCTTATTTGCTTTTTATTAAAATGTGTCACATTTTATCAAGAAACAAAATATATATCAAGATAAAAATGAAGGAATAAGAACAATTTTTTAAATGAAATTTGGAAATGTTTTTCACAGAAGTAACATCATATAAATGGTTGGTAATAATGATGGGTTTTACCTTTAAATAAAACTGTTCCATATGTGTGGGAAAATTTTTTCTAATACCCTAAAATTAAAATAAGGCCTCATTCATTAATAATTTATTAAGGCCGTGACTAACCTTGCTTCAACTAGAGCTAAAATATATTATGTAAATGTATGTGTTAATTATGAAACTATGAAGTAATATGAAGAAAAGGAAACATAAATTAAGGTAACATGAATATTCATGTCTCTTGATGCACAAGGCATGAAGCATGATACCTCACTTTGCTGTCATAAACACTGACTAAGAGAGGAATGTTTCAAATATACTTCAACAGAATTACTGGGGCAATATCAATAAATACAGTAAAACCTGATGAACATATTCAAAATAGGGAAAGTGGATGGATTTGGTAGATGAGAAATGCTAAGAGTTGCTGGTAGAAGTTCAAAGTAGAAAGATAAATCTGAAGTAGTGACAATATCTTTTGGGTCATTGATGCTTCTGAGAATCTGAAAATAGCTATGAAACATAGAAAAGTATTAATACAAAATTCAAGCTGTATCTATTTTCAGTATACTAATAGCCTACTGTGAATATACACATTCTTATTTCAGCTAGATATAGAATATTTGGCTTTTTATGTTAAATAAGCAACATCAAAATATCTAGTATTGGCCAGGAGTAATGGCTCACATCTTTAATCCCAGCACTTTGGGAGACTAAGGCACGCACATCACTTGAGGTCAGGAGTTTGAGACCAGCCTGTCCAACATAGTGAAATCCCGTCTCTACTGAAAATACAAAAATTAGCCAAGTGTGATGGCATGCGCCTGTAACCCCAGCTACTCAGGAGGCT